ACCAGGGATGAAGAACACAGTGGGGGGTGCTATAGGGTTACATTCTGTGTTTTTAAGAGAAATTTTTCATCCTGGATTAAGAACAGTATAATGAAAAGGAGATGCCTGTAGGTGTCTGGAACATTCTCTTTTGGGCTCTTGTGTTTTAAACTGTAAAGAATATACATAGTTTTTAATGTTAAAATTATGAATCTCATAAAAGGAATGAAATACAATATTTAATGTTTATAAAAATAATTGGTTTCTATTCCCAAGTTCTGAAATTGTATTTCTTTGGGAAGTCTTAACACAGTTATTGGCAAATGAAAAAGGTTAAGTGTTTTGCTTGACTTTCTCTGCCTATTTTCTAAATCAACTTTAAAAAAAAAAAAAAGATTTATTTACTTGAAAGTCAGAGTTACACAGAGAGAAGGAGAGGCGCAGAGAGGTTTTCCATCTGCTGGTTCACTCCCCAATTGGCTGGAGCTGCACCGATCCGAAGCCAGGAGCTTCTTCCAGGTCTCCCACGCATGTGCCGGGGCCCACGGACTTGGGCCATCTTGTTCTGCTTTCCCAGGCCATAGCAGAGAGCTGGATGGGAAGTGGAGCAGCCAGCACTGCAAGAGATGCCTTTACCTGCTACACCACAGTACCAGCCCCTAAATCAACACTTTGAAGGGAAGTTTAGATCTCTTCAATGTATAGTCAGTCTACTTTCTTTATATTCAGTTTTAATCCTGATTTTAAACTGAAAAGCAAATGGAGTATTTTTTACTTTATAGATTTAAAAAAATGAGACTATTCCACAATTTGGGTAGTTTTTATCATCTACTAGAGCACATATTATGCAAGTGATGAGAAAACCAGCTTCTGCCAGCTGGGAACTGGCTTGTCCCTTCCATCTGGGGCTTGCTGTTATCCTACTTAGCACAGTTTTGCAAGACACCCAAGTCATACAGGGCCCCTGTGCCTGTGATAGATCAAACATCCCCTTAGAGTGGCCAATGTGATTGCTTTTATTTTTTTTTAAATACAGGCCTGGGCTTCCTTTATTCTATTTACTTTCCAGATAAGAATCTATTGAATTACCTATTATTTAGTTGTAGTTTGTAGTCTTTCATATGGGGTTAAACACCTCAAACAGGTTAGCTTTCATTCAGATAATCCAGTAATTAAAAGGACAACAGCAAACAACTGCCTGATAGTTTCTTTTCTTCCTCATAGGTTTCTTTTGGGAAGTTCCTCCTAACTTTATTCCATTAGTAATGGTTAGAGGGTCTCTTGGATCAGGTAAGATCTTTAAATGGGCTCTTATTTGAAGAAGCCTTTTGGATCTCCTTTCTCTGCGGTTGGTCAGGCACTTTTTTCTCTGTACATCTCAAGGCTGCATGTCTGTTCTCACGGTATTTAACACCCTGTCATTCTAGTTTACTAGCCATGCCCCTAAACGAACCTCACACTTGGGAAACATCCTGTGGGCAGAGACCTTATGTTTTCTTTCTGTCACTGCTTCCGAGCAGATAATCACATACTTAAATCTTGGGGGAACTTAAAATAACTTTTCTCTAAGTACTGACTCTAAATTTGCCAGTCTGCCTTTTGTCCAGGAAACATCATTTGACTGAGAGAAACACTGTTTACCTATGGTATTTTTGTTTCCAGGGGTCAGCGTACCTCCCCAGACTTTTAAGCAACTCCACAAAACACATTGTTATTCATGCCCACTGCTAAGCTAGGATAAAAATGGGTGAAAATGAGCCTTACAACAAACTTGTACTGTTGTAAATTATTGATGCCAGCAAAATAGCAGAAAACTTTGCATATTAAAAATGGGAAGGACGGGGACTGGCGCCGTGGCTCACTTGGTTAATCCTCCACCTGCGGCACCGGGTTCTAGTCCTGGTTGCTCCTCTTCCAGTCCAGCTCTCTGCTGTGGCCCAGGAGGGCAGTGGAGGATGGCCCAAGTCCCTGGGCACCTGCACCCACACGGGAGACCAGGAAGAAGCACCTGGCTTTGGATCGGATCGGCACTGCGCCCATTTGGGGAGTGAACCAACGGAAGGAAGACCTTTGTCTCTCTTATCTGTCAAATAAAAAAAAATGGGAAGGCTGAACAATTTTCAGTGGATTTCTTCCTTTTGAAAAATCATGCAAAGTGGAAAAGAAAGCACATATGTAGGGGTGGGCTTTTAGTTAAGACAAGATGCCTGCCAATATCAGTGTCAAGAGTATCTGGGTTTGACACTTGGCTCTGGTTTCTGATTCCAGCTTCTTGTTAATGCAGATCCTGGGAGGCAGCAGATCACAGGTCAAGTAGTTGGGGATCTGGATTGACTTCCTGGTTCCAGCTCTGCACAGCCCTGGCCTTTGTCAGAGTCATCCAGTCCCCACCTCCGTCTCTCAAATTAAAAAAAAAAAAAAAAAAAAGTAACAATCTTAAGGGATATAAAAATATAAAGAAAAATGCAATAAAATGGAAAAATCAGGGAAAGGCGAAAATTTGTATCTTAACATTTAGTGTTAACATAGTTATTTCTGTGAAACAGAAAAATGTATTTAAATTTAACACATTTTACCTCAGATCCCTGTGTCATATTTTAGTTTAAATAGCAAAACAAAGCACAAATAAAAATATAACTTAGCTCCTGAATCATCTGTTTGGTTTTTGCCACCTAGTTACCTATTTTCTAACAGGGTGACTCTTACTTTAATAGGATGACTACACCTAGAACTACTAGCATCACCTTAGTACATAATTGGAAAGGACAGGAGTCAAATTTATCCTCAAAATCAGGTAAGAGTATAATTACAAATATGAATCAAGGTTGTTTTGCTTGCAAAATTAAGGTAGGAGGGAGATTATTCTGCTGTAACTCAACTCTTAAAAAAAAAAAAAACTTACCTACCTTGTGCCATCTTTTTTCCCAAATTAGGTATGACAAGAAGATTACTAAAGGAACGACAAGTGATCAACATTGCCTGTAAGGAAGATGCTGCACAAGTGGTGTTCAGTATGGAACATTCTCAATTCCAAGAATCATTCCTAAAATGTCAATTAATACTAATAGTAAACAGTGCAGAAGCCAGCTCTTTATTTGTTTTATATGAATGACTTTAAACCAAGTTTGTTGAACAGTTCAGTGTGGCTGACAGTGAATGTTTGTTTAACAGGAATGCATAGCAGACCATGTTAAAATGTGGCATTGTCCCAAAATACAGAAAGACTAAGACATCCTACATTTAGCAGCACCTTTTTGTAACAGTAACTTAAATGAGCAGTAGAGAAAGAGCATAGGAAAACCTGAAATGGTTATAACAAAGAACTATTCAGTACATTTCCAGCATTTCTAAGTTGACTACAAAAGTCATGATTCTACAACTACGATTAAGCCTTTGCTGTGTGAAGAGACTATAATTTTACATTCCACAAGTCAGTAAATATCCCTCTATTCTTGGGATGATTTCTTCATTTACAAATTGACTGCACACTGTTTATGCATATGACCACTATACAGTTTTCATGTATAGATGCTGTTATGTCAAATCCTTCAGTTTGGTGTTTGAGGACTACTTTGATTTGCACTAATATTTTCCACAGTAAAGTGGAAAACTAAGTTCTTTGGAAGGGATTAATGATAGCAGCAAGTAAGGTAGTTACCAGTTATACTTCAAGAATTTAAATATTCCAAAGTCATTAATTTGGATAAGTACATATGTAGGAAAGGATTGGACTAGTGATCAGCCTGATGAAAGCTGATCACAAATATTTTATGAAAGCGTTTTGACTGGAATAGTTTCTCAATTTGTAAAAAATTGTCAAAAATTAGTACAGAGCTAATTAACAAATAGACTGAATCTGAGGCATATTTTTCATATATTAACTGTTAAAATACTGTGTTTGTAATACAGTTTTAAAACAGTTTTCTTGGGGGTGGGGGAAATTGGTTAAATGTAAGTCATTCAGGAAGAAACTGAGATAAGGTAGCAAAACAAGAGTTCACGGTAACTATTTTGTTAAATAAATTAAGATACAGATCTGAAGTAGGCAATGATAAGCATTTTCCCGGGACAAACTTCAGGTGCTGAGTACTTGCACACCTAATACTGGTTTACCTATCCAGTAGTAACTAGAGGAAAATGTACACTTAATAACATTGTAAGCTTCATACAGCAGTGCTTTGGAGGTGTGGGGATAGTATGTTCTAGATTCCTCTTACGAGTAGATATCTAGTGTATGAAACATTCTTAACAATTTATTCACTTCAAGTTACCCATTTTGCCCTGGTTAATTCTGAACAACAGAAACTTTGGTTTTAAGAAGCACTTCCTGGGTTCTCACAGACAATGAAACTGTTTAAGTTGGGTGGGGGAGAATTATAGGTAATTGGGAAATAAACAGGAACAATAGGCAAGGTTAGAAAATAAAGTGGGAGAAGTTATAAAAATTTATTTTCCTATGAAGTAAGTCCACAAGCTGTGTAAACGTTTCTTACTAAAACAAATACTCTGACACACAAAGATTGTACATTTCCAGTGAAACACTCACAGTAAAAGTCGCCTGTATTTTCACTCTCTAGGAGCGAAAACAAGGACCAGCGCATGAATGCTTTCCTAGTTACTTTGGCAGCAAGCTTCCTCACGTTCCCTGACTGCTTGATGGATTGATTGTTAAAGCAACACATAGCACAATTAAATACAAAGCCAGGTGGCTGGAATTCTAGAGACCAGTCTCTAATTTCTTCACTAGTCTTCAGCATTTGAGTTTATTTCAACCGGTCACTCGTGCACACTCTTACATACAGACACACACGCACGTGCATACAGCGGGTTCCGGCTCATATTCCAGTGCAGTGACTATAACAGACACTAGCTACTAAGAATGTGTTTGTCACAATTAGTGTGAACTGTATGGAGTAGAACAACCTTTGAGTTTGGTATATTTGCCATAATTTATGGTCAAAATTATAAACTTACAGGATGGTATAACATTTAGAAATCAAATCTTTTCAAGTCAAGCAATCACACATATTTACAGTATATACAGACTTTCTATTAGAGTGGGGATAGGTGTCTAGACAATGTTATTACAAATTTCCTGAATGTGGGTATTTCTAGTCCCTGTAATTCATAAAGCAAATCTGCTGACTTGGCATTAAGACTCTAAAATAGTGTGATCAAACTGATTGTATATATATATATTATATATAATTATAATAAGGTGTCTGCAGAAATAACATTTACAAACTGTCTATACAGTACACAGTACTAATACATAGAAAATAGATTCTAACTTTATGATCCCCTTTGTGTAAGGCAAGACTGAATCTGTTCCCAAATTTAGTCAGCCAGAGGTACAAGCAAGAAACAGTGGTCCATGAATAAATGAATATGCAAATAAGGTATCTGTGTATTAAAAATCTGGGAAACAAGAAATTCCACTTATCTGTGCTGATTCTGGCTTGCTGGATGGATCAACTATGTTTCTTGAAACGCTAATCACCTGTGTGGCAACAGATTTTGTTCAAGTGGCAGCTACCCAACACAGTTTGTGAATTCAGCTGTACCAGGCCAATTTATATAGCACTTAAAAAAGAAAAAAAAAGTATATTAATACTCTATTTCATGCTATTGCTACTTGAGCAACAGCAATACAAAATACACAAGACAGATCACATATGATTTCAATGTAGACCCCAAAGATTTCATCTGAGGGTGCGCTTATACAAGACTTAAAAAAAAAAAAACACAAAAGGGCACAAGTCATTGGCGGATGTAAACATCCCTATTCCACTCCCCAGCCTCATTCCGTTTTTTGGATATTACTTCTCCATCCTTGTCACAGTAGCGATCCTTGGATTTATGACGACTTCGTTGTTTGTTGCACTCATTGTGGTCCTGCTCTCGATCCATGTCCCGGGAACGGTGCCGGGTTTCCCTGTGTCTGTGGTCACTGCTCCTGTGGGTCTCATCTCGGTGATTATGGTCACGGTGTGGAGCATAGTGGTCCACATGTTCATGGGAATAATCTTCCTTCGGCTCCACATAGGCAGAGTCTCGACTCTCCTGGGTTTCTGAGTCAAATGTCTCTTGCCTAGAGAGGCCTCTGCTTGTACCACTGCGATGGTTGTGGTGTGGGGCTGAGGAGGAAGACCGGTGCTGGGATTTCTTTGCTGGTTCCAAGCAAGGTTCTTCTTCAGCCTGGGAAGCAGAACGGGCAGGGGCAGAGCGATCAGTCCTCTGATCTCCTTGAGAACCCTGCAGCAAAGGGAATACAGGCATTAATCCAGGTTTCTTCAAATACAGTCCTTTTAAGTATCTAAAATCCTGAAATGAGGTCTAACATACGTCAGTTACTGAATTCCTTTGATAACATTCAGCGGCAATGATTAGTTTTGGATTTCTAAGTGCTATCTCCTTCATGAAAAAAATTACTCTGTTCTAGACATTCTTTTATATGTTTTAGATTCAAGTGCCTAAGGTTTTTCTATACAAGTGAATACATGAGTGAAGATGAAAAATCAATAGGATTCAGCATTGGCTTGAAGATTTTAAAAATAATAAAAATATGAAATGCTTGAACAGTATGGGGCAGAATCTGACTAGTCAAGGACCTTCACATGTACTTACTAATCCAACAACCCTGTGAGAAAAGGCAGGCAATAAGACAATTTGTTACAATATACAATGGCCCATGAGAAGGGCTGCTGTTGCCAAGCAAGAACGATTAAGGAACTTGCTGAAGGTTACACACCTTACACCCAGTCTGCTGCTGACTGTATAGAAAGTTTCTCTATCTCTGTCCTAAGGAACAATTTATTTCTTTTTTTTAAAGTATATATTTATAGCATATTCTGTTGACAGTTCTTTTCATACCACAGGACTGATTAAATGACTTATAAAGTTTCTCTTATTCAGACACAGTAGACTAGAGCACACACTGCTTTGGTTCTCAGGACGTGGATCCCAGTTTGAAGACTGCTAAAAACTCCCTTACCTGTGAATTAGAGGCGAGGGTGGGGCTGACAGGCAGAGCTGAAGTAGCTAAAGTACGGCTAAGGAGAGGGTTGGGGAGATTGCTGCTGGGAGGATGGGTGGCCTTCCAGTAGGCCTCCAGATAGTCGGCAAGATGCTCACAAGCATCCTCAAGCTGGTTCTCATCTAAGATCACATCAAACAATTCCTGCAGAGACAAACATTTCAGACAGCGCACCAGCACCAGCCCCAGCCCCAGCCCCAGCACTGACTGAGTTCCCGCGTCCCTCCCCAGCCTCCTGAAAGGAGGGAGGCGGCAGCTCCGGGAGCTGCACCCTTTTGTATCTGCCTTTGCTTATGTGCTCTCCTCTCCTTTTCTGTTGGTTGGCTGATCTTACATGTGTCTGTCCATGTCAGATGGATGCTTAGCTAATTATAATGATTCGAAAGTATACAGTTGGAATAGTTATTAGGGGCATGACAGTTCAGAACTGTTACTTATATCAGCAATGAAAAAAGATACTGATAGTATGGTTAAAAAAACATCGTGGAAGAGAGATTAAAAAGCTTAATGTAGAAATTAATGATGCAGGGGCCGGTACTGTGGTGCAGTGGCTTAAAGCCTTGGCCTGCAGCACCCACATCCCATAGGGGTGCCAGTTCAAGTCCCAGCTGCTCCACTTCTGATCCAGCTCCCTGCTAATGTGCCTGGGAAAGTAGGAGAGGATGGTCCAAATGCTTGAGCCCCTGCACCCATGTGGGACACCCAGAAGCTCCCAGCTTCGGATTGGCCCAGCTCTAGCCACTGTGGCCATTTGGGGAGTGAATCTGTGGATGGAAGACCTCTCTCTCTTACCTACCTCTTTCTGTAACTCTTCAAAAGAAAGTAAAGTTAAAAAGTTAATGAGGCAAGGTTAGGATATGAAATGTGACTGAAGCAGCTGAAACCATCTGACACAGCAGATTGCTTGTCAATCAAATATTGATACAGCTTCTAAAATAACTACTTAAGGAAAAAAAAGTTCATGGAAAATGGATAAAAAACTTATTTGGTGGCAAAAAAAAAAATTTGAAATCCATACATACTACAGGTCTTCAGAAAGTTCAGAGGCATATATTATATAACAACTATGCATAGAGTTCAAAAATCTGCATCAGAACTTTTAAGATTTATTTATTTGAAAGGCAGAGTGAGAGAGAGAACTTCATTTGCTGGTTCACGCCTCAGTTGGCTGTAATGGCAAGGCCTGGTTCAGGCCAAAGCCAGGAGCCAGGAATTCCATGGGTAGCAGGAGTCCAAGTACTCGGGTCATTTTCTCCTGTCTTCCCAGGCGCATCTGTAAGGAGCTGGATTGGCAGCAGAGCAGCTGGGACTCAAACGGGTATTCTGATAATGCGATACTGGTGTTGCAGGTTGCAGCATACCCTGCACCACAATGCTGGTCCTAAAATGAATAACTTTTAACTCAGTTTTCCCTGAATTTTTGAAGTACCATAGTATATCAAGTATGGACTCAAAATAAGAATGCATTCAGAATGATGTAGGTATTGTTTAAAAATTCATTTTTACATATAAGAGTGGGAATAAGAGAGGGAAGAGATGTGTAATTCGGGACATGCTCAAGCTGACTTACCTCAAACGGTAGAGTTAGAAACATGCCAGGGGATTCCAATTCAATCCCATCAAGGTGGCATGTACCAATGCCATCTCACTAGTCCCAGTGATCAATTTCTGTTCACAATTGATCGTAATGATAGGACTAAGAACCAAAGGGATCACATAAACAAGAATAGTGTCTGCAAATACTAGCTGATAGAATCAAAAAGGGAGAGAATGATCCAACATGGGAAGTGAGATACACAGCAGACCCATAGAATGGCAAATGTCCTAACAGCACTCTGGCCTCAGAATCAGCCCTTAAGGCATGTGGATCCGGCTGAAATGCCCATGAGAGAATTTCAGGCATGGAAAGCCAAGACACTCTGGGGGAAAAAAAAAACCTAAATGAAAGATCTCCACGAGTGAGATCCCAGTGGAAAGAACAGGTCATCAAAGAAGGAGGTACCTTTCTCTGAAGGGAGGAGAGAACTTCCACTTTGACCATGGCCTTGTCTAAATATGATCAGAGTCGGTGAACTCAGGGGGCTTCCATAGCCTTGGCAGCTCATGACAAGAGCCTAGGGTGATTACTGAGGCCATCAACAAGAGTGTCAATTTGTTAAGTCAACAACAGGAGTCACTGTGCACTTACTCCTCATGTAGGATCTCTGTCCTTAGTGTGCTGTACACTGAGGTTTAATGCTATAACTAGTACTCAAACAGTATTTTTCACTTTATGTTTCTGTGTGGGAGCAAACTGTTGAAATCTTTACTTAATGTATGCTAAACTGATCTTCTGTATATAAAGAGAATTGAAAATGAATCTTGATGTGAATGGAAGGGGAGAGGGAATGGGAAAGGGGAGGGTTGTGGGTTGGAGGGACGTTATGGGGGGGAAGCCATTGTAATCAATATTCTGTACTTTGGAAATTTATATTCATTAAATAAAAGTTAAAAAAATAAAATAAAATAAAATAAATTAAAAAATTCATTTTTACATAATTTCAAAAGCATTTTTGAGAGGCCAGTGCTGTGGGACAGTGGGTTACGCTCCTGCAGCACCAGCATCACTTATGGGCTCCACTTGGAGTCCAGCTAATACATCTGGGAAAGCAGCGGAAGATGCTTGAGCCCCTCCATCCATATGGGAGACCTGAATGAACCTTCTGGCTCCTGGCTTTGGCCTGACCCAGGCCCGGCTGTTGCTGTCATTTGGGGACTTAACCAGCAGATGGAAGATCGCTCGCTTGCTCTCTGCCTCTCCCTCTCTGTAACTCAGCCTTTCTTTTAAAAAAGCATTTTTGAATCAAAAGAAGGCAACTTGCTTTCAGTAATCAGAAGTGAATAATAACTCAATCCCAGGAGCCAGCATTGGTATACCTGCATCCTCTGAGTGCCAGTTTGAGCCCCAGTTGCTTCACTTCTGATCCTGATTCTGGCTATTGCATCCTGGGAGGCAGAAGATGATGCTACAAATACTTGGGTCCCTTGCCACCCTCATGGGAGACCTGGATGTAACTTCTGGCTCCTTGCTTTGGCCTGTCCCTAGCCCTGGCTGTCGTGGGCATTTGGGGAGTGAAGCAGCATATAGAAAATTTTTCTGTTGCTCTGCCCTTCCATGGAGATGAAAATAAACTTGCTTTAAGCCAATCCCAGATACGTCTTATAAACAAACTTTCAAGCTGTGATCCTGTGTTAGATATTAACAAACTAAGGTCATTAATGGATGCATTATAGTATTTTGCAAGCCATAACCATAATCTGAGCTACTCATGTGCTCCAAACACATGACTATGGAAGCAGGCTGGACAGTTCACTTCTGTGTAATCTCTTTAAGTGACAAGGATTCTCTTCCATGACAATTTGTTTTTTCTTTTTAATACAATACCAGGTTTAACCTCTTCAACTGGATTATCCCGCATATAGACATAGCGTATATATATAACTTACTGGAGGACACTGAGCCAGTTTATCAGCTGCTACCATCTGGACATTAAGGTGTTTAGCTTGAGATTTCCCTCGAGATTTTATTAGCCTTTGTAAAACCTGTGAAAGAGGAATTTTTTAAAACTAAGTTATAAAAGTTTCATTTATTTCATATACACAATTTTAGGAACATAAAAGGCGCATTGTCAGTTCCTTTCTGGTGGTCCTTTTTTTTATAGCGCGGATAGTTTATAACAGACTTAGTTATAAAATACAGTGTGTAGGATTATCTACAAAATTAACATAGTTCTCAGTTGTAAGCTGTATGCACACACACAGACAGTGCTTACTCTTCAGTGTTTTTCCTAGGCTTTCTGTTCCTTAGATCTACCAATAATCGCACTTATGTGAATTATATCTAATTTCTGTATTAGGAATTCAAAAAATTTTATAAACATTCCACTTTTTTTTTTTTAAGTAAATCTCTAGTTCCTAGTTTTGTAGAACACAGTCTACAACTGCTTCTACATTCAGTCTGCTACTGTGTCTTGTCTGGGTTGAAATACGGGAAGAAAATTCAAAATATTCTATAGATGTGTAAATGGAGGAATATTTTAGTATAATTGTGGATAATTTTGATACCATGCTAAAACCTAATAAGGGTAGTTCCTGAAAGACTAGTTTACCATGTGGAATCTGAAAGTATTTCTTACTGTGTTACATTAACTTTTCTTGTTCTGTCTTGAAATTCCAATGGATAATTTACCATGTATAATTTCTAACATCCTCATTGATCATTTAAAAAATGGTTCGATGAGTTCTTCAGATCTTTAAATGCTCAATATACTGCATTTTACATTATTAAAACACTACATTCATTAACATGATCACTGACGACAAAAGTTGTTCTCCCTGAAGGGAGAAGTTCACGTTGTTCTAGAAAACTGCAAAATACTCAGATGTGCATAACCATGGCCTGCCAGTTGTTCTTTGAAATAAAAAAAAATGGTATTCAATGAAAAAAGTGGCTAGGTTATTTCACAATCATACTAGTACTTTTGAGATAAGTTACTTTGATATGCAGAATTTCCTGTATCATTACACAGAATATTAAAAAGGTGTGGACTTAACAGTCAAAATATTTTTTTTAAATAAAAGAACAATTTACTTCATCAGGATACTCTTTTGAAATTGGCTGCTTTTTGTTTTGAGCCACAAGAACAGGGTGATGAACACAACAGATGGCTAGTGCTGTTCGGTACCATAGTTTTGATTCATGCTTACATACTAGCAGTTTTACAAGTCCACCATTGCTTTTGAACCAGCCATGCAAATGTCAGAGCAATGGAAAGACTACAGATATCTTAGTATTATAGAAATGGAACTTCTGAAAATGTCTCAGAACCTTCTAGGGATCCATGGGCCTCACTTGAATTGCTGTTTTAAGCCATGTAGTTAACCCTGCGTTGCTTCTCTAAGTCTTAAACGTTCTTGACTAATGTATCTCTTCAAGTTCTATGTATTCATACAGGCCTAGCCTGTTAGAATTGGGAAGCAGAAAATAAAGCATGTTAGTTAAGTCTGATAAAGCAAGCTAGTTAAGTTATCCAGCTAACTACCCTACTTACCTTAGGAGAAGAAATCTTCACATACACTACAATAGGGGCCAAAGAGGTTTTACTAAGTTGAGCTGGATGGTTAATAGTATCCGCATCAAGGACTACCAACTGCAGTGTCCTTGCAAGTTCAAAGATCCTTTCAATTTCACTCTGAACTTCCGCTGTAAAAGGTTAAGCAGAGGTATTTAAAGTACATCATTTTTTGGGCTGAACAAAGTAAATAAAGCCAGAAGATCCATTATGTTGAGATTTACAGGCAATAGAATTGATAAAAACCATCCTTTGGAAGGAACCATTTTCCCACAACACCTTGAGAATTTAAGGAATTCCTCTCTGAACCAGATATAAAATTTGCTTCTGCTGAAATAAAACATTAAACAGGTGAGACATGAAGGGAGCTAATGATAAACTTCTCTGCAAACACTTCTATTTCTGCTAACAAAGGAATGGTCCTGCAACAGTCATGTTTCAAGGGGGAAGTTACCTATCAGAAGCAAAACAGTAGAAACCCAAACTAGAAAATGTATAGAAAACTTACTACCAAACATCTAACAACCAACTTGAAAACCAAGAATATCATTCATATACTGCTCAATGATCTCTTCAGAGTATAAAACAGCACTGTCCAATAGAATTATCTGCAATGACAGAAATATCCTCTGTGCTGCCCAGGGTGGTAGCTGCTAGCCACATGTGGCTGCTAGACCCTTAAAATATAGCTAGTATATTTTAAAAGTTTTCTGGGGGAAGAACTGTTGCTGCTATATTTCTCCTAGAAGAAGGTAAGATTATCTGTGTTCAAGCATCACCAAAAACATCTTTGCTTATGCTGAAGTCAGTTTTCTTGGTCTTAAAGCCCATTTTTATGTAGTATATTGTTCTAAGTCTGCACAATAACTTCTCTAATTTTTTTTAAGTATGGATGCTTCAAAGATTGAATTAAAACTAAATTTTTAAGGTCTTATGCAGAACAGATTGCATTTTGAAAAGGTTTTGCTGGCTACAGTGTGAACTAGAATGAAGTGAGGCAGGTCAGAATGGGTGGGAAGCATGGCAGTGCTCAGGGAAATGCTGCTTTAAACTAAACATGGAATTAGATTTGATAACTATTTTGGAGACAAAACTGAAAAAACCTGGAGATACAGGAATGAGTTCAGGAATGGTTTACAAATTATAGGTAAGCAACCTGCCTTAAGTTATTCAGAATAAAATCATGGCTATGTTTTGACTTTTTAGGAAGCTATCACATTTTCCACAATAGCTCTACCAAAATTTGTCCTCCCACCAGCAACATATGACAGCTCCAGATACTCTGCATCCTCTCCAGCACATTGTGTGTGTATGTGTATATTTAGATTTTAGTTCTTCTACATAGGAAGAGGGATACACAGCAGACTCATGTTCAGATGTCCTGAACAGCACTCTGGCCTCAGAATCAGCCCTTAAGGCATTTGGATCTGGCTGAAGAGCCCATGAGAGTATTTCAGGCATGGGAAGCCAAGACGCTCTGGCAAAAACAAAACAAAACAAAACAAAACAAAACAAAACCCTAAATGAAGGATCTGTATGTGATCCCAGCAGAAAGAACAGGCCATCAAAGGAGGTGCCTTTTTCTGAAGGGAGGAGAGAACTTTCACTTTGACTATGACTATGACCTTGTCTAAGATTGGAGTCGGCAAACTCAAAAGGCTTCCATAGCCTTGGCAACTCATGACAAGAGCCTAGGCAGATTACTGACGCCATAAGCAAGAGTGTCAATTTGTTAAGTCAACAACAGAAGTCACTGTACACTTACTCCCCATGTAGGATCTCTGTCCTTAAAGTGTTGTACAATGTGAATTAACAGTATAAGTAGTACTCAAACAGTACTTTACACTTTGTGTTTCTGTGTGGGTGCAAACTGTTGAAATCTTCACTTAATATATACTAAACTGATCTTCTGTATAGAAAGATAATTGAAAATGAATTTTTTTTTTTTTTGACAGGCAGAGTGGACAGTGAGAGAGAGAGAAAGGTCTTCCTCTTGCAGTTGGTTTACCCTCCAATGGCCGCCGTGGCCGGCACACCATGGCCGGCGTGCTGCGGCCGGCGCACCGCGCTGATCCGATGGCAGGAGCCAGGTACTTATCCTGGTCTCCCATGGGGTGCAGGGCCCAAGCACTTGGGCCATCCTCCACTGCACTCCCGGGCCACAGCAGAGAGCTGGCCTGGAAGAGGGGCAACCGGGACAGAATCTGGTGCCCCAACCGGGACTAGAACCTGGTGTGCTGGCACCGCAAGGTGGAGGATTAGCCTAGTGAGCCGCGGCGTCGGCTGAAAATGAATCTTGATGTGAATGGAATGGGAGAGAGAGCAGGAGATGGGAGGGTTGTGGGTGGGAGGGAAGTTATGGGGGGGGGAAAGCCACTGTAATCCAAAAGCTATACTTTGGAAATTTAGATTTATTAAATAAAAGTAAAAAAAAGGAAAAAATAATTTTAGTTGTTCTAGTTGAGTGTATACTGGTATTTAATCACAAGTTTTAATTGAACCAGCCTTGTATGTTAGAATAACTCCATTTGGTCATGTTGTATTTTTATTTGGATATTCCTTGATATGATTTTGTCAAAATTTAAGTATTTTTTGGTCTAGGTTCATAAAGGATACTGGCGTTTTAAAAAATACAAAGCTTTTGTCTTGGTCTGGTATCAGGGTAATGCTAGTCTCATAAAATGAGATGGAAAATATTGCCTTCTGTTTTCTGAAGCGGGCATGTAGAAACAGAATAACTGGTGGGATTCAACAGTGAAGCCATCTGGGTCGGAGATTTCTTTAGAAAGTTTTACCTATGAACTAATTGTTTTTTAAGATAGTTATAGGACTATTAAGATGTTCTACTTCATCTTGGATATATTTTTTTAGTGTTCAGTTTTTGAGGAATTCTCTGGTAACAACACACACACATACACACATGAATAAATTTAAATGTCTATGGGGCCTGTAGTGTTTTTTGCTCATTCATTTGTAACACTGGGAATTTATGTGGTTTTTTTTCTTCATCATTCCAGCTAGAAGTTTACCAGCTATCTTTTCTAAGGAACTGCTTTTCACTTCAGAATTCATTTTTTCTTTATTATTCCCTTCTTTGTGGAAAGCTTTGCGTTTATTCTGTTCTTTCATTTCTAAAGATTTTATTTTGACATGTGACCTTTTCTAACATCTAATGCTATAAATATTCCTCTAAGTACTGCTTTAACTGTCAGAAATTTTTATATTCTCATACTTTTAGTTCACTATATTCTCTGGTTTCTCTTCAGATGTCCTCTGAGTCCTGGATTATTTGGGAGTATATTACTTAATTTGTAAGTATTCTGGCCAGCACCACGGCGAATCCTCCACCCAGCGGTGCTGGCACACCGGGTTCTAGTCCCGGTCAGGGCGCCGGATTCTGTCCCGGTTGCCCCTCTTCCAGGCCAGCTCTCTGCTGTGGCCCGGGAGTGCAGTGGAGGATGGCCCAGGTGCTTGGGCCCTGCACCCCATGGGAGACCAGGAGGAAACACCTGGCTTCTGGCTTCGGATCGGCACAGCACCGGACGTAGCGGCCATTTGGGGAGTGAACCAATGGAAGGAAGACCTTTGCCTCTGTCAAAATAAATAAATAAATAAATAAGTATTCTGATATTTTCCTTTCATCTTTCTCTTACTGATAACTGATTCCATTTGGGTCAGAGAACATACTTTGTATGACTCTAAGTATGTTAGATGCAAGTGGTCCAAGCAACTCTAAGTATGTTATTTGTTTTATAACCCAGTCTATGGGGCCAGCACTGTGGCGGAGCAGGTAAAGCTGCTGCCTGCAGTGTTGTTATCCCATATGGGCACTGGGTTCTAGCCTTAGTTGCTCCTCTTCCAGTCCAGCTCTCTGCTATGGCCTAGGAGGGCAGCGGAGAATGGCCCAAGTCCCTGGGCCTCTGTACCCACATGGGAGACCTGGAAGAAGCTCTTGGCTTCAGATCGGTCCAGCTCAGGCCATTGCAGCCAATTCAGTAGTGAACCAGCAAATAGAAGATCTCTCTCTCTCTCTGCCTCTCCTTCTCTCTCTGTATAACTCTTTCAAAGAAATAATAAAATCTTTAAAAAAAAAAACAAACCCAGTCTGTGTGGTCTTGATGAGTATTCCATGTGAAGTCATACATAAAGAATGTGTATTTTTGTTTTATTGAAGGAAGTATCCCAGAAAAAGTGATTAAACATAATTGATTGGTGATGCTGTTCAGTTCTGCATCCTTGCTGCGTTTTCGGGCCACCGGTTGTGTCAGTTCCTGAGAAAGAATTTTGCAATTTCCACCTATAATTGCAGTTATGCTTTTAGTTCAGTTAGGATTTTCTTCAATATTTTGATTGTTGTGCACACACATTTAAGATCGTTCTGTTTCCTTTGTGAATCTGCACTTTATGATCAGGTGTGCCCCTTTACCACTAGTACTCTCCTTTGCTCCAAAGTATAGGATGTCTGATCAGCGTTCTAGCATGTTATTCTTTTTCTACCCTTGTGAGTTTCTGGGGCCCTGCAACCTCCACATCCCATATATAAGTCCCTGGATTCGAGTCCTGGCTCAGTGTCCGGCTTCCTACAAATGGGCACCTCGTGAGACAGAAAGAACTGGTTCATGAACTTAGATCCCTGCCACCCACTGGAATAAGCTCCAGGCTCCTAGCTGTGACCTAGCTCAGCCCCTGCTGTTTTCATTACACAGAAGTACCCTCATTGCCCTTCAAATGAGTTTAAAAAAAGTTTCTTGTAGTTAATTGGATTATGATTATTTATATCCATTCTCATTCTATCTGTATTAGTTGGTTTGCTTGGACCACTTACATCTAAAATATTTATTGATATGTCTGAATTTGCATCTACTATTTTGTCATTTATTCCCATGGTTTTTCTTTACTGTTTCCCTTCTTGTTGTCATCTGGGCTTTTTGAATATTTTTAAAGTATTCCATATGTATGTGTCTATTCTTTTTTTTACTGTCTATTTCAGTAGTTTCTAAATGGCTGTTTCAGGGTTTACTCTATGCACACATTAATTTTTCATATCCTACTTAAGATCAATATTTTATAACATCAATTGCAGATCATATGCCATACATGTTCTTTTGCTTTCTGCTGTTCATCTTGTAAT